GGGGGGGGCAATGGCTTGAAGATATGGCAAAACCCAAAACCCAAAACTCAAAAGTCAATGCCCCAGGTGGTGCGTAAGCGATCCGCATCAATAAAATCGGTTAGGGCATGCAAGCCGCGGGCGTAAAATTTGCCGAGAATGGCCTTGAGCTCATCATTGAGCGGTTCGTACGCCGAGTTGTCAGTTTTACTCTTGAGACCCTGCAGCACGGTAAAGCCGCGCTCGTTGACGCGGATGTGCGGTCGGTAATCAAAGTATGGAAGGCCCAGCCATGTCTGGAGTCGGTCCATCTCGCCCGGAAAATCATGGAAAAGGTCCTCCGTCAGCATGACATAGATCTGCTCATGTGGGTAGTGGCGGCGAAAAGCTTGCAGCTGGCGGGCATAATATCCACGAGCCAAGAGACCTCCGGTGCGCGCCTGCTCCATGTTGAGGTGGTCGAGGCGAGTGCCATTGAGGGTATGCAGCACCAGGGAGGCAAACTGCTCGTTGGTACACGGCCCATTGAGAACGGCGAGGTCCTTTGCCTTGATGCCGGTAACTCCAACGGCCTCGAGGCTGCTGGCCACGGCGGCGGGCCCACTCTTGGACGCAAACACACGCCCCTTGATCTTGGGATGCAACCCCACCAAGAAATTGCCCTGTCGGCAGCGGTGCTGAAAATGCGAGTACGAGCGAGAGCTGGCAAGGGCATGCATAGAATGCAGGCGCACACCATGAGAATGGGCGCTCAAGACCTGGTTGAGGCCTGGCGTTGAGCACACTTACACGGGGTTGCGAAGGATAGCAATGAGCCGCGCCGAAGGCAAAAAGCGATGCATGCGATCAATCTGCTCATCTTTCATGAACAGGTAGCTGCGCTCGCCCAGATGCAAAGATGATGGGGAGAAAGATGAGCAAGCCCGGTAGGTTGGGGAGCAGGGTGGGGGCTTCAGTGAGCAAGCAGCGGTCATGATAAAACGCTGGACGATGCAACACCTCCAAAGAGATTCCAGCCTACCGGGGTGTTTTTTCAAAGGTATACTTGTAGGCAGGTTCGGCCCCTCGCATCCGAAAGCCCTGCATCAAATATTGCGGCATCCAGGTGCGGACCAAGTCGTCGTCAGAGGCTAAAGTTTACCCATGAGATCGGCAAGCCGGTGAGGAAAGGGCCACAGAGTATACGACAGCATTGGATCCGCCATGGGCGAAGGCAGCGAGAGCACGCAAAGGCTTGCCCAGTGAATCGAAATAATGGGCCTCGCCCGTGCCAGAGCTGGACGGGCCGCCGTAGCGGCTCATGGCCGGGTGCCGAGAGAGCCAGCCTTGCAGCTCAGCGGTGCCTGCGTACACGGGCATGATCGCGAGAAGAGCATGAGGTGCGGCATCGTGACCGGTTGAAAAGCCAGGGGGAGGATGCTGCAGTCCTGGCCTGCGGCCGCGACCGCACCGGCTTTCATGGCTCCAATAATGATGGTCGAGGGGAGACAGGCGACTTGAGTGCCAATGTGCACACACGAGCCGGCATCAAGGAGAAAGGGCGAGAGGTTGGGGGAGTACTCGACCAAGGGTCGCAGCTCCAAACGAATACTCGAGCTGTTGGTCAAGGCGGGCATCAACGTGCGCAGCGTCGAGGGCTTGTCCATCTCCATGTAGCTCGATGCCCACGAGCCCGGAACGGAGGCACCAGGCAAATGTTGGCAGCCCACGAGTGAGGTGCTCAGCACAATGAGAATCGCAAGCTCGCGCATTCGGCAACTTGGCCCCATCCGTGTTTCTCCAGCCATGGCGATATGGAATCGCCACCTGGCGCCTCTTCCTCTACTGCAGGACGTTCTCTGATCAGCGCCAAACTTGGCCCTGATGTCTTGCCTTGAGGATGGTTGTGGGCCCGGCAAAAATGGGACCCAGGCGTGGTGGGCTGTATTATGTGCCGAATGCTAAGGCTCAATCTCAAAGGCACACACTCCGCGTGCTTCGGCCGAGCTCAAAAAGGTGAGGGGCGAACACAGCTGCTGCAGCACTCGGCCGAAAAAGTGCAACTCGCCCAGATCAGACGGCCACTGCGAAAGGGAAAGGACGTGGGAGCGGTATAGGGACAGGCGGACAGGGGTAGAGCGCTTGAAGAAAGAGGCAGGCAGGTCCCAAGCGGAAGGCCCAGTCGCGATCGTGTGCAGTACCTGTCTCACGGAGCAAACCTGTTCGTCCGCTCCAAATGCTCTTGGACAAGAAATTGGCATGCGCGATCCTCCACACGACAGATGGGCATGTGGGTGAGCTGCACGATTGGTGACAAAGACAAGCAATCCCCGCTGCTTTGGCGGAAAGAGGTGCCTACAATTCCACCTCAGGGCCCTAACATGCCATCCGCATCACGTAAGCTCTGAGTCTGAGCACCAATTGGTCCCATGGGGTGGGGAAAGCTGCCTGGCAGTGGTCGGCATCGCCTGGAACCCCAGGTACGGTCGAGCAGGGATGCACGGGAATCGCTAGCAATCCCTCCGTCCCCGTCGCTAACTTGTCCGCTTTGCTGTTGCGTGCATGCACTGCCATGGTCAACCGCGCCATCTCGAGTGAAGTTGAAGAACCCTCATAATCTCAGAATTTGTTGTGGCCCAGCTGCACCGTCAAGCAAAGGGAATCAAGCAGGAAAGTGCGAAGGCTAGAAGTATTGCTCCACAGATGCGTCCCTCGCTGCCAGACGCTTTGCAAAGAGGTGCAAGCCAGAAGAGCCAGAATTTAGCGAGGGGTTAGCCCGGCAAGAAGTTGATGGGTTCAATTATCTTGGTCATGTTGGTGCACTCTGGCCAACGGACATGAGCAAAGAACCAGTCATATGAGCTTGTGCACAAAAGAGGACTGGCCGCCTAAAAGGGGTTGACGCGGCGCGGGAGCGCCGCAGAGCTAGCCCTGGCACTGGCACTGGCACTGGCACTGCCTTCCGCGATAGCTTCGGGCGCATCGAGGCTAGGATCGACCATGCTTGCATCTGGCTCAAAGTCATCGTCATCATCATCTAAATCATCAAGTCCAGGACCTCCCGCTGCTGCGGCCACGTAGCTCACGTTTGGCGGGGTTCCACGCTGCGTGGTCAAGCTCAAGGCCACGCCCTAACACGCGGAGCGAGCAATGAGCTGCCTATCATTAAACTCCGAATTGGAGCGGCTGTTCTGAAACAGATACACGAGTTGTAGCAAAGCCCTACGTCGGTGCTGTTCCAGTTGGCCACGGCTTCGGAGATGAGGGAATGACGTAGCCTTGAATTCTCTTCGTCGTCCTCCTCGTCCTGCTCCAGATCGAGTTCTGGACGATAGACCACCGCTGTACCACGGGCGTTGGGTTGTTCGATGGTGCGGGCCAATTGGATGTTGCTGCCCAACACGGTGATCTATGGCGCAAAGGCACAAGCCAAGCCATGAGTGTGTGGCCTCGTGGGGTATCATGATCGCGATTGTGTAGGCTTTGCTCCCTAGCCGACTGCCCCTTAACAAACCCAGGTGCGCAGCATCTTGGTGTTTTGCGTTTGGAGCACGATGCGTTTTTGCTGTTTGCCTGGCGTCGGGAGTATCACGTGCAGCACGAAGCGTCGATCGTCAGTCTCCTCAAACGTGGCTCGGCATTTGAAGAGCGATTGCTGCAGCTGTGGCTGGCCTATGAAATGCGGCACGGGCCTGACGTGAGGCAAGGACTTTTTGTATTCGCCGTGTGGCATGCAGTAGTCACACGCGGCAAACAAGAGCCAAGGGAAAGAAAACAAAACAACGCGTTTCGAAACAGCATGAAAATGCCCAAAGATGCAGAAAGGGAGCGAGAGAGCGTGAGCGCAGAGTCGCAGGACAATAAAAAAAGACGCACCAGAAATGGGATCCTGTAGCTCGAGCTGCCCATTGCGACAAACGGCATACACCAGGTCCCAGCGAGCGGGGCCAACCACGTTGCGCCCGCGCCGTGGTTGGCGCCAAAACAAGTAGCTCTGCAAAATGGTGGCCGACGTATTGGGCGTCGAGTCTCGCTGCATTGCATAAAGGCGACGTGAGGTGCAGCAAGAAAACGATAGCATCACCTAGCGATGGCAAACGTGTTCGGCGGGCTGACGAGCAAAAAAAGGTGCCCGACGCAACGAGGCCCGAAAATGGCAGACCAACCTCTTGTTCCAGAAAGGGGTCGTTCTCGTCGACATCCAAAAAATAGTCGCGGTCAGTGGCGGCCTTGAGGGCCTGGGCTTCGGCTTGCTGCACCTCCTTCATGCGCGCGCCGTCCAGGGCTCCGTCAAGACAAGCCGACTCCAAGCGAAACAGCAGGTCCTGAAAACGTTCTCCATTGGTGGTCAATGGTGTTCCATTGTGCGCCGTACGCGGGGTGTCTGCCGTCTCGGACGACATGGGTCCCGTGGCTCGCAAATGCTGGTTGAGCAGCTGCAACAACTGTTTGAGGACGCGATGAAAATAGACGGGCAATTGCTGATTGACCGCGTTGCCCTGCACCACATAGTCCAGCAGAAGATGGTGGTGATCTTTATGGGCGCGGTACACATCCAGGTTGTGGTCATAGCGCACCTTTTCGGTGCATTTCTTCTGCGGCAATTTGCCGTAGCGTTGCAGGGCGTGGCAGAGCTCATTTTGCGCCCGAATGCACTCGGCGTGGATACCAATGACATCGCGCTGCAGCTGAGTTTGCAGCTCACTGAGGTCGCGCATCACTGCGGCACGCGTGGTGGTGGCCAGCAGGCGCAGATGCTCGTGCGCGTTCTGAAGATTATCAATGCCGTCGAGCAGGGCCTGCTGGCGCGCCTCGCCCCGCTGGGCCCAGCCCTCTGGGTCTGCCCCGGTAAACATTTGTGCGGTGCTGTTGGCGTGGCCTTGCAGACATTCTTGCATTTGCTGCAGGCCCTGGCAGGCCTGCTCAATGCCCTCGATAAACGTGTTCATGGCCTGCTCCGCGCGTAACATGGACGACTTGAGCTGCATGAAACGGCCATTAAAGGCCCGTAAGTGCGCTCGCGCCGGTGGCGGCAAAAACAAGGTATCACGCAGTCCCAGATCCAAAGGCGTGGCCGGGGGTGCCTCTACCCTGCTCTGAGACAACCCAGTCCTAGTCATTGCGGGGATCCCTTCAGGCATCGCCATGTTGCCGACACCCGGTCCGCCGTTCTTAACCCCTGCCTGCCTCGCGCCACTGCCTCGAAACAACAACAACAACAGAAGACACGGGCACGGTAAAATAATTATTTTACTTTATGGCTTGTCTTCATGTATTGAGAAGTTTTGGAGTTAGAGGTGCATGATGGAAAAGTATTTTCGCAATTCGATCGTGCCATTTTAACAAACATCAACATGAGGCTCCTGCTGGCGCGTCGGGCCTCAAGTGGGCTCTTGCCCTGGCTCGTGCTTACGCTGTGGGTGGGGGGCCAAGGATCGGCTGCGTCGGTGGGCACGTTGCCCAGTGATTTTCTGTACCTCGAAGCCGTGGGCCCTCTGGAGACGGTTTTCAATACCAGTGACGCTTGCTCTGACAGCTACTGGAATGGCGAGAATCATGACAGCACGGATAGCATGCCCATTGCCTGGTACAACAGGGCCACCAACGAGACCTACCTGATTGCGGCTGTCTCGGAGGGCATTTTCCCCAATGTGGGACCGACGCTGAGCCAGTTGACGCACCGCTGTGACCGGCTCGTCTTCAACTCCTCCTTCGAGGCCCGGCCCAACACCTACGCCAACTACCAGTGGCTGCAATCGGTGCACCTCTTTCCCAACGGCACGGCCTTTGGCCTGGTTCACAATGAATTTCATGGCTATAGCAACATTACCGACGATCCCAATGCTTACTGCAGCCTGGACCGCCATGAGTGGCCGAGCCACTGCAACCTCTGGTCGACAGGCCTGGCTCGCTCAGACGACGGCGCCCGAACCTTTCACCTCGTGGCCCAGCCTCCCCAGCATCTCCTGGCCGCCCTGCCCTATCAGTATGTGCGCAATCAGTCGATCTATGGCTATGGCGCTATCAGCATCACTTTTCAAGGAGATGACGGCGTCTGGTATGGCTACATTAACGTTCTGGGGGAGGCGGATCAGGCCTCAGGAGCTTGTCCCTTTCGTACTGACGATCCCTTTAACCCACAGGCCTATCGCGGCTGGGATGGCCAAGGCTACTCCGTGGCCTGGCACAGTGCCTATGGGTCTCCTCTGCGCAATGGCAGTGGCCTGTGCACCGTGTACCAGCAGCCGTTTACCAACACGCACCAATGTCCTCGGCGAATTCTCGGACTTGATGGCGTGGAGAACCCGCCCACTTACGTTCTCTTTGGGCAGGGAGGCCCCGACCTGAGTACTGGGGCGCTCTCGTACGGATATTCATGGGAGCCAGACTTTGCCAAGGCCATCACCAACTTTTCTGGTCATGCCACGGTCGATTTGGGCGTTCAGCGCTATCTGAGCTTGAACGGTCAAGCCATCTATGGCGTGGTGCTGGACGACAGCTCGCCCGACTTTCAAGCTGAATATGGTCTCGGTGACAACTTTGAGGTGGTAACCAATTACTCCGCTTACGCCTACATCAACGTGCGACGTAACATTCTCCGTCGCCGCCTGGTCTTTCGCCGCACGGCCCCACCTTCTCCTCCGCCTCCAATGCCCCCGCCCCCGGCATCCTGTCGCCTCTTCAGCGTGGTTGATGCAGCTGACGCTGGTTGGAATGGCATCTATGCCCAAAGCAGCAACCGGTCCGACGGCTTGCCAACGTTTGTCAAGGATGAATCTCATGTTCTGTACCGCTTCATGGGGGTCTGGCGCCTGGGCCATCCGGATGTGAGCGTGGCTTATGTGCAACAGATGCCCAACACCACCCTTCCCGAGCCGAACGACTGGCGTATCATGACCGGCTTGGCCCCAGCGCCCGCAGCAGTCATGTGTGCCGACTGACGTGCAGTGGCAGGGATGCTTTGCTGCGAGGGCGCTCGGTCTTTAGGTGACATTGTTGTTTTCGCACGAATCAAGAAAGCCCTAAAAGCCCTATTCACCATTCCTCGTGAAGGCCGACCTTTCGGGTACGCCCTTGGCAGCCGTACTGCTCGCAAGAGTCAGGTCAAGCGATTGTAAGCCAGACGCAGAAAGTCGCTGATAACAAAATCGTGAAGGTGCTCGTGGCAGCCGGCGATGGCAGGACATGCGATCATGCCGCAGGTCGGGAGAGAAGAAGCTTGTACGCAGCCTATTGCCGTTGTGTCGAGTCCCGAACTGAATTCGGCCGCAACTGACCGTGCTCAGGAGCATTTTATCACAAACAAACAGGGCCCAGGGTTGCTCAGCAGTCCTCGAATCCATCTGTTAGTCTGTCAACTAGATGATAGGTGACACAGGCTGGGCCTTTCACTTGCCCTAGTACAACGGAGGTCGGCGGCATGCGCATGAGGTCGAAAGGAGTAGTGTTTGAGGCACCGGATGAGCAAAGGGGTAGGAGCTGGTCAGACCTGGCGAAAGCATTTAATAAAGGCCAAAAACTCTTGCTGACACTGATTCTGTGTGATGTTATCCAGGTGCTTCTCGACGCAGGCGCCATACGCACGCACCTTGTATGCGCACGCATATGTGTGTGTGTGTGTGTGTGTGTGTGTGTGTGTAAGTGCAGCCCAGACGACAGTGGCATCATGAGTAAGACAGAGCACACAAGTCTGACGAGGAAAGATAACCACACCTGGGGTCCACAGGCGCTGAGACGATGGCGCCACTGTTGGAATTCAGCCCGTGCCGCACGCACGCTTGGCGAGCGTGGAGCAACCGGCGGCATTTTGTTCAGTTCAAGAAAATGGGCTCCTGTCTCTGTCTATTCACAAGCAAACACAAGACCATTGAGCCCAACGCATTCGCACCTACTCAAGACCACCACCACCCTCTCTTCAAACCACAGGCCGCAGAACCCCCGACGTAAGCTTGCCCCAGCAACACACGACTGCCGATACGCACAGGCCGATACGCACACGACTGCCACAACAGCCAAAAAAAAAAAAGTGTGCTAAGCGGAAGTGTAATGTATATCACACTATCTACCTTGACACGACCAA